ATTCTAAATATTTGCAACTACAAATAGTGTTCAATACTTACAGGTTAAACGTTACAATCATAAAATCTGCTCTACATGTTTGCAAAATCTTTTCATAATGTAATCTTCTGTTATAATTTAATTCCTCATCCTCCCTTTCTGTTGGACCTCTCTTCCTTCTCTCTCTCTCTCTCTCTCTCTCTCTTATGCCTATCTCACACTGTTGTGCCAGATCATTCTTCACTGTCACTACAGTCTGTCTCCTCCCAAAGCACATTTCTCTCACTCCTTTTTTCTCCTCTCATCGCATTAGGCCCAAATATAGGAGTCTAAAGTGGGATCAGAGACTGATGGGTGTGATGTCAGACCTGTGTGTGTGTTCTGGGCCTCTGTGCTGGGTGGGAGGATTATGGCATGTGTCTGCTCACGGCCTGTTGCAGAGTAAACGGTGATGTAACGTGAGGAAACAGGGGGAAACTACTTTGGCGGTCCTATAATCTGATGTATCTGTGTTCTGCCTGCTCTGATTTTCACTTCCCCTCTCAGACTCTCCCTTTATTTCTCATGCATCCTCTCTTTCTCTGTCTTTCTGAAGGTACAGACAGAGGTGAAGCTTCTGATACAAACTTCGTTTGTACTGACTCATTCCTGGCTAATTGATTCGTTCCAAGGCCAAGTTGCGTGCCGCCCAGCTTCTGCATAGTGTCACATGGCTTCATCAAAGAGAGTTTGTTTTCTTTCTACCTCTCCCTCTCATCCTCTGTCGCTCCTCGCCCATCCGGCCGACCCCTCTGTCTGCAATTTTTTTCATCCCTTGTTCCACCCCTATTGCCAAATTTCTGTCAGTTACTTAGTTTCCTCCTGTCTTTTCCTTAGGGAATTTCCCTTGATCCATGATTGTGTCATTCCCTTCATTCCTACCATACCTGGGAGAGGTTAAAACAGGAAACAGAGTGAGAGAGAAGGAGATAGAGAAAGAGGGAGAGAGGATGAAGGAGACAGACCAAGTAATAAAAGACAGACACTTGAAGTTTTTTTTAAGAGCTGAGGACAGTGGTGGAGGAACCTTTAGCTTCCATGCGTGGGAGGGTAATTGGGAATGTAAACTGACTTCTAAAAATAAATCTGTCCATATGCAGGGCATATAACACATTCCAGTGATGATGCAGACTGAATGAATGAGCAAAGAGAGATTAGGAGGGGGTTATTTACCAGAGCAGGATGAGGCAAGAGGCTTGGCTAGTTCCTCCATCCATTCCTCAGTTCAAACAACTTTTATTATTTGTAATTGATCACACACAAATATATACACACTGACAGATGACTAAGTTAAAAGACATAAAATGTCTTAACAGCCAAAACAATGCGTGACAGCTTCAATGCGTGACAATAGCTTAACATACGTTCTACAAGTCTCAGGAACTTTACTGGAATGATGGAATACTATTTAGAGATGTGCATGTGACTGTTTTTTTTTTTTAAATCCCACTCCCTCAGAAATTTTGAACAATCCCTCCTACTCATGCTGTTATGATTTTTCTTCGACTGCTTGCAATATATGGCCTTTCTTTGTCCACGTCTGACTGTTCTCCACTCCCATGACTTTTTTGTTCCAACTTTGTTCCCAGACCCAATGCACCTCTAACACAATTCTTCCAAAAGATATTCCCTCAAACGATGGCTTGACTATGGTGGTACAGAACACTGTTGCTTTAAAATCACCCATGGGTTGAGATCTGGAGACTGTTCAGGCCATAGTATGTGATTATTTTCATACTCATCCACCCATTCAGTGAGCCCTTGTGCCAAGTGGAGAAGACTACTCCCATCAGGATAGAAATGTTTCATCACAGGATAAAGGAGATAACTCAGAATAACTTTGTATTCATTTGCAGTGATGCTTCCTTCTAAGGGTACACGTGGATCCAAAACATGACAGCAAAATGCCCGCCCACAGTTTAACACTGCCATTGATTTTTCCTTTATGTTCAAGTTCAAGTTCAAGTGGCTTTATTGTCACTTCAACAATATACAGCTGGTACAGTACATAGTGTAACAAAACAACATTCCTCCAGGACCATGGTGATATGTAAACAACACAGGGCTACATGAGACTACACAGAACTAAATAAGACACAAAGACATACACAGGACTACATAAAGTGCATGTGTATAAACATGTGCAAACAGCGCAAGACAGTACAGTAATTACTAAAACAAGACAAAAGGCGCAGTAAAGGACAATGCAGCGCCAACCAGTACACAGTTCTAGTGTGGAATAAAGTACAGATAGATATTACAATATGATAATAAATGTTGTAAATGTAAACATAACATACCATTTAGCAGTATAAATGTATGTGTGTATATACACTCACTGCCCACTTTATTAAGAACACCTGTACACCTGCATATTCATGCAGTTATCTAAAGAGCCAATCATGTGGCAGCAGTACAATGCAAACAAATCATGCAGATACGGGCCAGCAGCTTCAGTTAATGTTCACATCAAACATCAGAATGAACAAAAAGGGTGATCTCTGTGATTTTATCCGTGTCATGGTTGTTGGTACCTGAGTGGCTGGTTTGAGTATTTCAGAAACTGCTGATCTCCTGGGATTTTCATACACAGCAGTCTCTAGAGTTTACACAGAAGCGTGCGAAAAACAAAAAAACATCCTGTGTGCAGAGAGTCTGTAGGCTGAAACACCTTATTGAGAAGAGAGGTCAGAGGAAAATGGCCAGATTGGTTCTAGCTGCCAGGAAGGATATAGTCACTCATAAAATCACACACTTTACAAGTGTGGTGAGCAGAAAAGCATCACAGCATGCACAAAACATCGAACCTTGAGGTGGATGGGCTGCAACAGCAGAAGATCACATTGGGTTCGACTCCTGTCGGCCAAGAACTAGAATCTGAGGCTATCATGGGCACAGACTCACCCAAACTGGACAGTTGAAGATTTAAAAAACAATCACCTGGTCTTTTTCCAGTCTTTCACTGTCCAGTCTCCGTGAGTCTGCACCCATGATAGCCTCAGATTCCTGTTCTTTGCTGACAGGAGTGGAACCTTGGACCACTGACAGGAGTGGTCTTCTGCTGTTGTAGCTCATCCACCTCAAGGTTTGATGTGTTGTGCGTTCTGAGATGCTTTTCTGCTCACCACGCTTGTAAAGAGTGCTAATTTGAGTTACTATAGACTTGTCAGCTCAGACCAGTCTGGTCATTCTCCTCTGATGTCTCTCATCAGCAAGGTGTTTCAGCCTGCAGACCCTCCACTCACATAATGTTTTTTTGTTTTTCACACCACTCTGTGAAAACTCTAGAGACTGTTGTGTGTGAAAATCCCAGGAGATCAGCGGTTTCTGAAATATTCAAACCAGCCCATCTGGCACCAACAACCATGCCACGGTTAAAGTCACAGAGATCACACTTTTTCTTCATTCTGATGTTTGATGTGCACATTAACTGAAGTTCTTGACCTGTATCTGCATGATTTTATGCATTGTGCTGCTGCCACATGATTGGATGATTGGATAACTGCATAAATGAGCACGTGTTCCTATTAAAGTGACCGGTGAGTGTATATCATGCCAGTGCCTTTTTTTCTCCAGACAGAGCATTGTTTGCCACAGAATATTGTACCAGAAATGTAGTGAAACATCCAAGTGGTCTTTTGCAAAACCTGAGACATGCAAAAGTGGTTTCCTCTATGGTCGCCTTGCATTATTCAACACCAAAACTACAAAACACATCAGTTTGATCAGCAGCTAACATTCAGTGGATGTTATTGCTGTTAAAGGAGGAGATACAGTTATTAATTACAAGGCTTGACATGCTCCAGCCTGGACTGTAAATGATTAATCAGCATGTTCAATAAAGATTAGTTAAAGAGGAATGTTTGACTGTCTATTATTATTACTTGGATGGAAGTAATTTTATTTTTTAATTTATTTTAGTAATTTTTTAAGACCCATTTTATTAGGAATTAATGATGAAATCCAGGTAATTTTCCAAAGAGTATACCTTGTAGCTATACTTATTGTCAATTTTATCAGACACGCCTACCATATAGACACACTTTGTAGGTATAAAATTACAGGCTCTACCCTGTCCATCAAAGGAAGAGACCACCAAAGAAGCACAGCTGATCAGATATTATTTGGGTGGTGGAGCATTTACAGCACAGCTGTGATACTGGCATGATAGTGTGTGTGTGTGTGTGTGTTGCTGGTACAGCATCAGGCACAGCAACAATGTTTTAAGCATAGTGTGCTTATAATGGCTTCTTTATTAGAAAACTCACTTTGTTCGTCCACCATGTAGGTGTAAAGTTAGTGACTATAGATTATGTCTTTCTGTGTACAAGTGTTAATTGTCCTTTGGCCCTTCGTCCGTGTTCAGTATTTGACCATAACATTGTGTTTGGCTAGATGTTTTGGTTGGTAGACTGTTTCTAAATCCAGCACTGCCACTGAAAAATCCTTGTGTGAATGATACACTTATACCAGTGCCACAAACACTAAGATGCCACTGCTTCCAGGGAAATTACTGAGAATAGTTCACTACCTGAATTATATCTGCAGGGGTAGATTAATCAGTAACCCGAGACAAGCAGATTTTTGTGTCTGGGCCATTAGTTTTTATTCATAGTTGTCCCATGGATAAGTACATTCAACAACCCTACTTCTTACAGACTTTCACAAAACACAAAACTTTCACAATGAAAAAAAAAAAGTTTTCATTTCGTGTGTACAGTAGCTACTGTATGTTTAAACTTAATGGGCTTGACAATGGTGTGACATTGTTAAGAACAATGGCTTGTTTTGAATCCCACCACCTGCTTCACTAAACACATTGCCCAGAGTGCGATCTGGTTGACAGCAGAATGATTTTTACTAGGTGGATAATGCACAGATGACAGCCGAGATCTTTTCAGAATCAAGAGCATGCAGGTATGTGGAAATGTATAGAGAAAAAAGCTAGCCACACTTGAATAATATCTTCTACTTGTGATTAGTCCCTGGTGGACTGGTGGTTAGGCCTGAGCACTCTCACCACCGTGGCCCAGGTTTGATTCCTGGCCAGGGAACCTACCCCAGCCACTGGGCTTGCACATGACAGTGCACTCCCATTGCCAGTCCCAAGCCTGGATAAAATTGGGGAGGGATGTGTCTGGACAGGCCTCCAGTGTAAAAGCTGTGCCAAATCAATATGTGGACAATGGAAGGTGACCTGCTGTGACAAACCCTAATGGGAGCAGCCAAAAGAACAACAACTTGTGATATAAAGACAGAACATATCTCATAGCCAAAACCCTGTGGAAAAGGACACAAACACAGTGCACTACATTGGAAACTTTGCTAAGATAATGAACAGATAATTGTTTGATTACCGTAGTCTTTATTAAGCTAGCTAACTACTTGTAGCTTGGCATGTGTTATTACATTAAGTTAGCTACCACTTTTTGGCCTAGTCAAGGCAATGCTTTTCTAGGCAACCAAAACATGGGACTGGGCAAGCACACTGGAACTTTCAGTTGCCCAGTGGCCTAGCTAATGCAATTATGACTGGTCCTGTGCTAGTCCCTTTCTCTTGATTGATAGGGTAGAAGGGCCTGCTACATTGTGCACAGCAGTAGGTGGGGTGCAGTCAGTAATTGTATACCTACAAACTGCCAATATGGGCTAGGTGAATATGATTTTTTTTTAAATGCCAGTGGATGAGGATATAAACGAGGTGTACATAATAAACTGTCAACTGAGTGTATAGTCACTCAGACACACTTTACATTCTCAGAAATGATACTAATCTGTGCCTTTCCTTTTTTTACTGGAGTGGTACCCTCAAGGGTACATCTTTCTTACCTTTAATATGTAACTTTCACCTGGAAACATGGATATAATGTACCTTTAAAATGATTTAAGGTACATAAATGGATCATAATTAGTTTTTATAGTAAAGCCATAACAGTACACTACATGCACCTTTCTAGGTAAAAGATACAACAGGTCACGTCAAGTCAAGTATGCTTTATTTTCATTCCTCGTCTCACAGACAGATGTAACGTTAGGAACAAAATATAGCTCCCCTAGAATCACAGTGCTGCTCACTGCAAAGAGCTAACTTCTGTTATCCTTTGCATTGCTAATTGTTTTTAGTGCAAAATCAATAAATAAAATTAATTGATTGTAGATCTATTTATAGATAGACAATAGATTATACAATATGATATAAACTATATAATAAACAATATAGTAAACAAACTATAAAGTAGTAGTAATAGTAATGATGTAAACTTATAAAACAGGTATAAAAGATGTACCTTACAGGCACCACCCACTCACAGGTGGGGTAGAGCACCACCATATACAATATCTCAGCCATTCAAATATTAATTTTCATAAAATGTCCTAATTCACAGCTCCATACATATTAAATTCCCTTGAATAGTAAATACCTGTTTTGTGTGACCAACGATTAAAAAACCTGTTGCTATTTCACAGATGTTCCATAGTTTTGTGCATCTTTCTACACTCCTGGGCAAAAAAAAAAAAAAAAAAAAAGAGCCAAGCCCAAAATGACAAAATATTAATCTTTTAATGGTCTTAACAACAAATCATTGGAAATTAGCAAGAATTAAACAAATAGATTAAGGAGCATAGTATGGGATAGCTTTTCCCTTTGATTTCTTTAAATGTTGACGGGCTGCATCAGGTGTGGCAGATCTTTTAAGGAAAAAAAAAAAACATCCCAGAAAATATTTTTGGAATATGTTGTACACCCAGACATGTGTTAGTTTGAATTTTACATCAAACATTTTAATCATTATCATGATTTTACTTTTGCGTACAAGAACACTATATAAGTGAATTTCCTTGTTTCTAGCTTTTCCTCAAACAGTTACTGCAGCAAAAGTAAACAAGCAAATGGTGGCACAGGAGCTCTCAGGAGTGCATTTGTTTAATTCTTGCTAATTTTCTGTCATCCTGCACCACCAACCCCTTGTACAACCCGAGGGACAAGGAAAGGTCCAGTTTAGTACTCTTTTTGCTGAGAGTGTAAATGGTGTCTTTATTGTGAGAACAAATTTCTGGGTTTGACACACACTGCTGTATTTTCTTGTGACAGCATGTGGATAGTGTGCATGTGCTTGTGTCATGCTCGAAAGGGTACTCTCTCAGATCATTTGGGTCATGGTGACAAGCTTCGTCAGTGGGACAACAGTGTGACGTCAGAGCATTCCAGTCTTTTGTCTCTCAGGCCCCCTTGGATCAAATGACTGCTTTTACTTCTTTCTCTCTGTCTCCACTATCTTGTCCTTCTACTCCTCCCTCTCTTTATCACCCCTCCCCTCCATGCTCTTCTGCTTTTCAGTCGTGAGATTCTTTTAAAGAATAACACCCAGACTGGGACTGTGACGCAGGCAGAGACAAGAAGGTGTCCAGTAATGGGAGTGTATTACCCAGTACCCAGTGTGTGTGTGTATGTGTGTGTGTGTGTATGTGTGTGTGTGCATGCGTGGGGATGTTATCTTGGGGTCCGGTAAGTGAGGGGGTAACCGGGGGTCACTGACATGCTCCGTGTCTGAGCAGACATACAGCAAGGCCTGACAAATACGTAGGGAATGCGCAAGTATCGTCTCCCAGGAGCTTCTCTTTACAAGAAAGAATGTGCTAAAAATAACCCCTCTTGAACTCCCTCACTCTCCTTTTCGGCCTTTTGTCAGCTCTTTTCTCACTGTTTAGCATTTGGCTCCCTGTCAGTCCATGACTCTAGCAGGATTCCTGGAGTACATTCACAAAAAAAAAAGAGAGCGAGAGCAAGAGAGAGAGAGAGAGGGAGAGAGAGGGAGAGAGAGAGAGAGAGAGATTGATTTGAGATGATAATCAAATCTTGCTTCACAGTCCCTTCAGTGTTAACCCAATGGCCAGACCTGTTTACATTCTTCAGTCTTGTTTACATCCGCCTGTTTTTGTTGCTGTTATTGTTTAGTTGCCCACTGTTTATGTGAAGCCCTGTGCGTCCAACACCTACTCTTCCCCTGAGAGCCGGAAGGATGGAGAGATGGCAGGAAAGATCGACAATCGTGGAGAGACGGGGTGTGTTGGAGAGTCAGACAGACAGAGGGAAAGAGTTGGAGAAAAAGAATTAGACGCCACATACAATGACAGGCAAGGAAAGAATGTTTAGGCAGGCTGAGAAGAGGAGAAGGGACATGCACAAGTGCGTGCGTGTGTGTGTGTGTGTGTGGTAGCCCAGGACCAGGGGTGTGTTGGCGAAAGTGTGTGTCGGCTTGTTCACAGACTGAAATACAGTCTGCAAAATGTTACCAGGCTTTCGAGATGGCGAGAGCTCTGAGGAGAGGAATAGAGAGAGAGAAAGAGACAGGATGGAAAAGACATGTCTATCCTGTAAAAAATTCCCTTTGCGTGCGTTGCCTCTCCGTCTACATCTCCCCAAGACTCTTTCTTCCTCCCCCTCTCCTCTTCCCTGGCTTCCTGATGCTCTGTCTTATTGCTCCACCATGGTCATTCCACTGTTTCTCCACCAGCCAGAGACAGAGAAAGTGTTATGGTAAATGCCGCTCCACTGAGCACGTTTGCCCAGTGTCTTACTGTACCAGTGAAATTGCATCCAGGTTTTGAATTGCACAACTGAGGAAGAGTATGAGTGCGCACGATTGTGCGTCAGGGCAATATCAGAGAGCACTGGCTGCCAAACTCTGGAGACCGGAAAGGCAGCTCCTCTGGGTGATTTATACCGTTTAGAAGAATTTTTCGTAACTAGATCGAGTGAGTGTGTAATATGAATGAACCGTCAGCAGAGATGTTTCATCAGTAGAAAAGTGAGAAAGTGTTTGGGGGCATCACCCGGTGGTACTGAGTGCTGCCTGGCCTGCGTCCAGCCCTCTTTGTGTGTGTGTGTGTGTGAGTGCGAGGGAAGCAGTTGGCTCAGTAACAGTCCTCATTAACTTTGCTTTATGAGTGCGGTGGGATGTAGATTGCTTGTACCACAACACAGGCTTCTTTCTCTTTTTTCTTGTTCTCTTTCCGTCTTTGACCTAGTGTGACTGGATAGTTTACATACATGGCAATTGTGCTTGTGTGTGTGTGTGTTTGTGTATGCGCACGTGTTTATGTGTGAGAAAAGAAGATTTTCAGACATCACATTATTGCCCAATGATCCCCTCACGGTTTGTCATTCTTTTTTTCTCTCCCTTTCCCTTTCTATTTTCCCAGAGTCATTTCCACACTCACATGTTCTCTGACGTCTGTAAAGGGAGGGAGGGGGGCAGGAAGTGGGGCCAGGGGGGCAGAAGTTGTCGTGGTGACAGACCCAGCTCATCTTCCCTCTGTTATAGGATCTGACATAGGGGAAAAGTAGTGATGTAGCAATATGAGAGTAAATATTAACACAATCTCAACACAAACACAGACACACGCACGCTCATGGAAGACTTCCGACTCCCACTCTCACTTGTGCTCTTTCGTCCTTGTTTTCTATTTCTTTCCATCGTGAAATTCCCTGCAGGAAATGATGTGTGATGGCCGAGAAATGATAAGTTATGAGCATATTCTCCTTCAGGTTCTCTTCCTGTTATCCAGTGCTGTGTCATACCAATCATTTGGACTTTTGTTTACATTGGGGGGTGTGTGAACGTGTCTCTGTGTTCTTGACAAAAGCAGCAAAAATGTGTGCGCATTCGTGTAACGTGAGCGTGTAATCTGATGGCCTAATAGCCTCAGTGTTTTGAAGCATTAAAGAACAGGGTAACATTAAACACTGTGGTTTATTTACTGATGCAGGCGAAAGTCTGAAACATCCCCTTTTTTTATCAAGGTATGTGTTCCATCTTATTTAGGCTGGTGGAACTTAACACCGGCTCATAATGTCTCATAACACCGGCTAAATTCAATAAACTTGCAATGATTTATAGGTCATACACGCGTGCATGCACACTCACACACACTGACACATACACGTTCATTTTTCAGGTCTAGACAGGACATTTTAAAGGGCTTTCATGCTAGCTGACCTACTCAGTGGCTCCACAAATAATCTGCGGAATTGCCACTGGCAGCCCTCCTG